CAGGCCCGTAGCCAGGGGGGGTTCGGGGGGTTCGAAAGAACCACCCTTTTTGCTGGGAAAAGATCCACTCTGGGTAAAATTTGACCTATGTACTTGAGGATTTAATGGTAAAAGGTCCACTTTTTTCAGAAAAATGACCCCCCCCCCCCGAAATTGCTGCCTGGTTCCAACACTTTATCACCTGATTGAAAGCATATTTAGTTTCTTGATAAAGCTTTGGATAAATGAATCTTATCTTCTGACCATGTCTACTTAGAGTTGCCACTGTTAGCCAACTTATCAATTCTGTCAGGTCTAATGCATTATTTTAGTCATTTTGCAAGTCTGCTCACTAGGTATGAGTGAGTCAGCATTTCTTGTTTTGTTACATGATTGATGTGTTGCAGCACTTGCTGTCTGGCTGAAAACATAAATTGCATGGCCTAATTCTTGACTATATATAAAATTAACAATAGTAACCATTCTGTTATATCTATCATTTTTATTAAGCCTTTGCAATAGAATGTCTGTGTTTTGGTTGAGGTGCAGTGACATAGGTGTATTATGACTTTTTGTTTACTAATTTAAAAAAGGCAATATCTATTACATCTATGCAATTTTAAATTCACTGATGCAAAAAGATATTTATCCTTATGGCAGGAGCTGTTTTCTTATAATGAAAACCTTACAGCAATCCTGAAAAATGTATATGAACATTAACATGTGTAATGGTTTAGAGTGCATACCCTGACAAATGAATTAATCAATTGAATAAATCAATTGTGCAAGTCATGACTCAAGGTGAAACGTGCACTTCAAATTACCGTACCTGCACACATAATTTACCTTAGCTGTTTTCTAGCAATCAAAATTAATGATTTAACTCATACCGATGCAGTGAATATTTCCCAAATTTATAATATTTTTAAATTCAATCTAAAAATCTTACAAAAAAAAACACCGAAAAAATTAACACTGACAATGGTAAACAGACATTTTACCCATAATTTCGACTTCATGGTTAGTTTCCACAAGAATATTCTTCATGAAGGTTGCGACCCGTTCGCCCAGACGGTTGTCACGGACGCTTCCGAGGAAAAGCACCACTTTTAACTTGTTGCCAGCCATCAGACAGGTCAGAGAATCGCGGTGCGGCAGCCGATAAACACGATGTTTTCACTCACCTCGTCAATACTAGGTCAAGCAAGACGAGACGAATCGGTCACCTAGTCAGCACCAATCGGCAATCCTCGGCTGACTCCGCCAGGCTCCACACCAATCGAGTGAGTCAGTCCTGAAGAAGATTATTTTTCTTTTGTTCCGACTGGACGTTACAAATATGGTCTATGGCCCTTTTCACATAAAGTGGTATACTTTAGTGGCACAGTTCGTACCGGTATACTTCTTGAAAGGATTATTTGAAGGCAGGGTCCGCGGATGCGAAGCCGACAACCCCCCCCCCCCCCCGTGCTGTATTTGTACTATTATATAATTAAAAAATACAAAACAAAACGTACCAAGTTAACACCAAAATTCCTTTTGTTTAATCTCTCTTGTCCTTTTTTCTTCTTTTTTATCATAACCGTAAAATAATAAATTTGTTCCATTAATGTCCAACATTACAGAAACATTTTGTCTTACTATGGCCCCATTCAGAATAGGGGACTAACTACATGTAGCTCCGAGGATTATCCTGCAGCGATGGCGCATGTGGAGGCGGGAAGACCAATAGGGAATTTCAGCATCGCTTTTTTAAAAGTGGGGTTGGCCATATTTAGTCGACGGATCGATCGATCATATGTTCTGAATGCGCTCACAGAGGCAAGCTTACGATATTCTGGAGCTCACGTTTAATACAGTTAACCCCGAGTTTCAAAGTTTGGAGTAAACTTGAAACCCCACAGGCATCCTGATAATAGAAGAGTTTTGACCGACCTGTGTTTCTCAGGGTGTTACAGTACTTAAACTTATACAGAATAAAAGTCTCTAGTTGTCTGTGAAACTCTGGGTGATTGAAATGCACTTCTCATGTTCAATGCCCATAACATTATTACTCTTCATTGTTAAAATTTCATTAATTTCTTAACAAACCCTGTAAAATATATACAGCTATAACTATCGGTAATCTCTTATTACCTCCGCCAAGGAGGTTAATTATGTTTTTGGTTCCGTTAGTTTGTCTGTCTGTCTGTCTGTCATAAACATAACTCAAAAAGATATATGGGCCGATTTTGAATATATTTTATGGAACTGTCAAAAGTGGGTCAAGGAACAAATGATTAGTTTTTGGTGGTGATCCGGATCATTAATCAATCAATAATCAAAAATCAAAAAAAAAAAAAAAAAAAAAAAAAAAAAAAAACTAAATCATTATAAAATGAAAATTTAGAGGTGAAACGGCATTGGGTGGAGACTTTGCTGCCTTGGCGGAGGTCTGCGCTCTCGGAGTGCTTTTCTAGTTAGGCTACTGTAGGCCCAAGTCATATCATTGTCTAGAGGTACTTTTATTACTTATTTCTTTATTTGGGATATCTATAAACATGGACGCTCGAGTATCGCAGATCATCTTTTTCACTTGAAAAAAAAATTTTTCTCTAGATTATTCTTGATGAATTTTTTTAATGTTAAATGGACCTATAATCCGAGAAACAGTGGGTGTTCTCGTGGCAGGCGAAGCAAATCCCCGAGCTCGATTTTCAAGCAGGGTCGAGTCAAAGACCACCTCACTGAAACACACACACACACACACACACAAATGGAGCTGTTGTGTGCCTGGCCATGAAAACATTGATAATAAGCAATTGACTTTTTAACATGTAAGCTCTAGTGTTCGACAACTTCAGGCCTACCCAACTACCAGACTCGGCACATAAGGATCCTGAATTAACCGGTATACCGGACCACAATACCCCTTTTCAAGGTGTGTGTCAGTTCGCATTTCGGAGTATCAGTCAGAACACCGACAAGATGAGCCCGCGGTCGTCCTACAAAATTTATTCTGGGGTACGATACTCCGAAATGCGATCTGACACATACCTTGAAAACGGGTAGTGTGGTCCGAAATACCGGTTAATTCAGGATCCTTATGTGCCGAGTCTTGTAGTTGGGTAGGCCTGAACTTAGGTAGTGTGATCGCCAGGGAGATGTGAAAGATGCCAGTAACCACTCAGACTTATAACAATGTTAAAACGTGTATTAGTGCAGTTTTCAACTGAGATTTAAGGGGATAAAGTAAACGTATAAATGAAAAATATTTAATTTTAATTTTTATATTAATGTCTTTTTTTCGTCTTTTCCTCTAGCCATGCTACTGACATCATAGTACTCAGGGCCGGATCCAGGATTATTTGAAGGAGGGGGCGGGGTCCGCTGATGCAAAGCCGACCCCCCCCCCTTCCCCGTTGGCGTGGGGCTCAAGGCCCCGAAAATTTTTGAGATTTTAGAGGGCGAACGGTGCCATTTGGTACGGTTTAGTAGGCCTACTATAAAAGAGAAGAATATTAGTGTGTGTGTGTGTGTGTGTGTGTTTTTTCAGAAGCCGAAATGGGAGGGGGGGAGGATCAGGACCCCCCTGACCCCCCTCTAAGTCTGCCACTGGTACTTATAACCCTAAAGTCGTGAAGGGAGCTCGAGGCGTCTGTTGTTAATTATTACCTATATCAATAGACGCTCTATATGTAAAAATATTCATTGTTGCTACTGCCTGGCCTGGAATGCATATAAGTAAATGAAGTTTCGTAAAATCACAATAACTTGTTTTTCATTTCTCAGAATAACAACTCAGTTGATTACAAATGCATTTCAGAGTACTGAGGTGGCTGTACATGCAAAGTCCAGCAGTGTACTTACAATTCACTACAATCAAAACAATCATGTTCCCTCAGGCTGCCTCGAAAATGCAGTCACCCTACGCCCAATTATATTATCCACATGGATCAACTTTGAATACGCACGTACTATAATGGCCTGCGAGAAGTTCACGTCTACCTGTACCAGTTCAACGGACATCGTGGACACTATAATTTTAGGGAGAAGGTATGTTGTTTAAAAATTGTCATCAAATTTGCCTGTACATTTCGAAGTCACTACTTAGTGCTTATTACTCTTATTATGAAATAAAATGATAAACAGAATAATCAAAATAAAAAATAGTTAAAAATGTTTATGTTAATAGATAGTATAATGAATTATGTACATCACTATCAAATGCCACCCCCTATGAACAAGGTGACCATTGGTGACAACTGGAACGGCACCATGTGACTATATATCACTGAAGGTATAAAAGCGCGGAATTTTGAAATTTCGTTCATTCAACGCACACAGATCAGGAGGAACAAGAAGGATGCCATGTACTGCGCCCCGTATCAAGCCAAACGGACACAGGAGTCAACTCACAATTTCTCCGAATCTTTTCGTCATCTCAAGTCAACGCTTCCCTCATCGACATATTGTTTCTTGCACACGCAGTCGTCTGGACGGTGGATTCGACGTTTCTCTAAGCTGGCCAGCTAAAACCTTCGCTTCTCTCCAAGAGGAATCGTCGCTCAGGAATCTTCGCAGGATACATCATCGGCTTTCTGCTGTTGTGGGTTGTATTATTGTAGTGTCATTGCATATATTTTCATGGTTTCTTCTATTACAGGTCCAGGAGGCAGACTGCTGAGTGCTGACATAGGTAGGAAAAGTCATTAATCCGTTTTTCTTTCTTTTAACAGAACTCCATTATGGCGATTCTCGATAGAGTTCCCACTGACAACTGCAAGGAGAAAAGGGCCCACATCTACACTTCAGCTATTTCGACCAATCCTTGATGCCGGCGAGTCCCGCCATGGTCTGTCTACGAGGTGGCTGCATTGGGGAAGCGTCCAGCAAGTCCTGTCATGGTCTGTCTACGAGGTGGCTGCACTGGGGAAGCGTCCAAGGCATATGGTTTTTCAATGAGATGGAAACCCCTTAAAGGTAAGCCTGTCTGCAGAGTGCTGACATAGGTAGAAAAAGTCATTAATCTGTTTTTCTTTCTTTTAACAGAAATCCATTATGGCGATTCTCCAAAGAGCTCCCACTGACAACTGCAAGGAGAAGAGGGCCACATCTACACTTAGCTACTTCGACCAATTATAGTGCCAGCGAGTCCCACCATGGTCTGTCTACGGGGTGGCTGCAATGGAGAAGCGTCCAAGGCATATGGTTTTTCAATGAGATGGAAACCCCTTAAAGGTAAGCCTGTCTGCAGTGTGCTGACATACTTATAAAAAGTCATTAATCTGTTTTTCTTTCTTTTAACAGAAATCCATTATGGCGATTCTCCAAAGAGCTCCCACTGACAACTGCAAGGAGAAGAGGGCCACATCTACACTTAGCTACTTCGACCAATCCTTGGTGCCATCGAGTCCTGTCATGGTCTGTCTACAAGGTGGCTGCATTGAGGAAGCATCCAGGGAGTCCTGCCATGGTCTGTCTACGAGGTGGCTGCATTGGGGAATCGTCCAGCGAGTCCCATTACGGTCTGTCTACAAGGTGGCTGCATTGAGGAAGCTAACAGCGAGTCCTGCCATGGTCTGTCTACAAGATGACTGCAGTGGAGAAGTGTCCAAGGCATATGGTGTTTCAATGAGGTTGAAACCCCTTAAAGGTAAGCCTGACTGCAGAGTGCTGACATAGGTAGAAAAAGTCATTAATCTCCTTTTCTTTCTTTTAACAGAACTCCATTATGGCAATTCTCCAAAGAGCTCCCACTGACAACTGCAAGGAGAAGAGGGCCACATCGACACTTAGCTACTTTGACCAATCCTTGGTGCCAGCAAGTCCTGCCATGGTCTGTCTACAAGATGGCTGCAGTGAAGAAGCGTCCAAGGCGTATGGTGCTTCAATGAGGTGGAAACCCCTTAAAGGTAAGCCTGACTGCAGAGTGCTGACATACTTATAAAAAGTCATTAATCTCCTTTTCTTTCTTTTAACAGAACTCCATTATGGCGATTCTCCAAAGAGCTCCCACTGACAACTGCAAGGAGAAGAGGGTCACATCTACACTTAGCTACTTCAACCAATCGTTGGTGCCAGTGAGTCCTGCCATGGTCTGTCTACGAGGTGGCTGCAGTGGAGAAGCGTTCAAGGCATATGGTGTTTCAATGAGGTTGAAACCCCTTAAAGGTAAGCCTGACTGCAGAGTGTAGGCATAGGTAGAAAAAGTCATTAATCTCCTTTTCTTTCTTTTAACAGAACTCCATTATGGCGATTCTCCAAAGAGCTCCCACTGACAACTGCAAGGAGAAGAGGGCCACATCGACACTTAGCTACTTTGACCAATCCTTGGTGCCAGCAAGTCCTGCCATGGTCTGTCTACAAGATGGCTGCAGTGAAGAAGCGTCCAAGGCGTATGGTGCTTCAATGAGGTGGAAACCCCTTAAAGGTAAGCCTGACTGCAGAGTGCTGACATACTTATAAAAAGTCATTAATCTCCTTTTCTTTCTTTTAACAGAACTCCATTATGGCGATTCTCCAAAGAGCTCCCACTGACAACTGCAAGGAGAAGAGGGCCACATCTACACTTAGCTACTTCGACCAACCCTTGGTGCCATCGAGTCCTGTCATGGTCTGTCTACAAGGTGGCTGCATTGAGGAAGCATCCAGGGAGTCCTGCCATGGTCTGTCTACGAGGTGGCTGCAGTGGAGAAGCGTTCAAGACATATGGTGTTTCAATGAGGTTGAAACCCCTTAAAGGTAAGCCTGACCGCGGAGTGCTGACATACTTATAAAAAGTCATTAATCTCCTTTTCTTTCTTTTAACAGAACTCCATGATGGCGATTCTCCAAAGAGCTCCCACTGACAACTGCAAGGAAAAGAGGGCCACATCTACATTTAGCTACTTCGACCAACCCTTGGTGCCATCGAGTCCTGTCATGGTCTGTCTACGAGATGGCTGCAATGGAGAAGCGTCCAGTGAGTCCCATCGTGGTCTGTCTACAAGGTGGCGGCATTGAGGAAGCATCCAGGGAGTCCTGCCATGGTCTGTCTACGAGGTGGATGCATTGGGGAAGCGTCCAGCGAATCCTGCCATGGTCTGTCTACGAGGTGGCTGCAGTGGGGAAGCGTCCAATATGGTGTTTCCCCGAGATGGAAAACCTTTAAAGGTAACCTGTGTTATTGGGGAGAGAAATGGACTAAAATGATATTTTTTCAGTTGTATTCTTTGTCATACCTTACTGGCCATTGGGATCTCAACCTTCCTAAAATCTATTGCTCTGAATCAGGATTCACTGATCCGAATAAAAAGTTCAATACAACTTGACTGGATTGCATTAAAACATTATTATCAACAAGACCTTGAAATTTTTAGAATCATGATGTAACAGTTACATTAAAAATTAAATCATATCAAAAGCTTTTTTGAAAACGTGGTCCAAACAATAATTAGTATGTCAGTCATTTATTACATAGAAAATATCAGAAATATTGATACAACAAAGGGTCGGTCTCAATAATAATTGAGAAATTTTACCGTTTTAGAGATGAGACCCTGGAAATCGCAACGTCAAAAAACAAATCGGCTGGACAGCAAGAACTGCAGTGACCTGATAGTGCCGGGTTTGCCTAGGAAGAGCACTGACGATGACTTGAAGGCTTACTTCTCAGTTTGTGAAGTCAACATGGCACAGGTACTCATTGCTACTCATTAAGATCACTGATATGGGTTTCATGAAAAAGTTTTTTAAAAGTTAGTCTTTAAACGAAAAGGATTAAAATGGAGCAATCCAGTTATCACTGGTATCAAATGATAGCAATTTTGTTCTTCTAATAAAACTAATTACTATTTTTTGTGTACAGCTAACGCCGCAGGCTGCTTTCGATACACAATTAATGAAAATTAAACAAACTAGACGACAGTTCACTTTTGTTCATACTTTAAAATGTTGAAGTGTATCTCGATTTATAGAAGACGGCATCTAATCATAATTTTTAACCATGCACCGTTATAAAACAAAATTTGTCATCGCAAAAATGATATCCCCCGGCCATTGACCACACTTTTGGGAAAAAATATTTTTCAATGTTAGTACATTTGGGGAGGGTATTAAAGGAAAAACAAATGCAATTTTTCCTTTCTATTTACAGAATTCGATTATGGCAAGTTCTGATAGAGCCACGGTCTGTTTATAAGGTGGCTGCATGGGGAACATCAGAAGCATATGGTGTTTCACTGAAATGGAAGCATTTCAATCCATTAAAGGTAACTCATGTTATTGCGAAGAATAATACACCAAAGTCATTTTCGTATAATTCAAATATATATTTTAGATAAAGCCTTTAGCCACATTGATTTTACAGCTCACTTTCACAAGGCAGTGTATCTTCCCCTTGACCCACTTCTGGAATGAAAAAAAGTTGGTGGGTTGGGTGGGAGGAATAGGGAAATAGGGAAAATAATGTCTTTTAAATTTCTCTTTTGAAGTTGAGGCAGATAGCATTGGCGAGCGCCTAACCTGATGATGGTCCACTTTTGCAAGTTTTAAATGGAGAAAGTTACATCAGCATATGGGATTTCAAAAGCTCTTGTCTAGTTGTGATACCACTGGGAATTATGACCCTTTAAAGTAAGATATGGGCAAGGGTAGAGGGCGAACAATGAACTAAATTGTCATTCATTTTGTAGATATTACACATCTTATGTCAATGCAAATTCAACAAACTGGACATTTTGTGCCAGGTCTTAGACAAAATTGTTTTAAATTAGACTGTTTGGAAACTGTTGTCTAGTCACTAAATATAGACATTTTTCCATTTGCAATTTACTCAACGAAATCCATATAGCAGACATTTTAGAATCCAAAAGCTCTTTTCATTTGGCACAAACTTGAAAAAAAACTCGTGCAAAAAATTTTGACATCCAACTTTCAGATCTTCATCAATCTCGATGTGGCACAAGTGGCGTTGTCACTGGTCTAGAATACTAGGAGTTACTGCCCCCAACCTCTCCCTCAGTGCTGCGGTTGAGGCACTAAGAGGCCGTCGTACAGGTGAGCGTGTTTTTCATTTCTTTCTGTTGTTTAGATCGTCGGGTGTTTTCGTGATTCTTGTGCCTTCCTTTATCCCTCTTATTCTCTTGTCACTTTCTTTTGGGAAAATGTTAGCACAGGCCCGTAGCCAGCAATTTCAAAAGGGGGGGGGGGTCTTTTTCTGAAAAAGTGGACCTTTTTTCATAAAAACATGTACCTAGATCAAATTTTACTCAGAATGGACCTCTTCCCACCAAAAGGGGCAGTTCTTTCGAACCCCACGAACCCCCCTGGCTACGGGCCTGTAGCACTATTCTAAATCATAATGTGGTTTTCTTGCGTTGTGTTATAGAAGTAGAATGAAATAAAATAAGAAAATAAATTAATCGTGTAAAGGACCAAAACCTTGTGAAACATCAAAATATCAAAAAAAAAAAAAAAAATGGTGTAAATACCAGTGGCATACATGATCAAAGTTTTAAGTTTTCAATCGCTTTTCTTGCTTTTGTGTAAACATGTCACATTCTATTTGTAGGCTACATGTACGAAAGGGCAGTTTTCCAGAAACAATGCCCAAACTCAGATGCCATCAATCCTAGCCTCAATGCCCAAGACGTGAAACACTTAATGGTGTTAGAAAAGATCCCTGAGACCACTTTAATTGATGATCGGACGTCCTAGTACTCTTGGTTTTTAAGGACACAGCTTGTCTGCAAATAAATTTAGAGAATGTGGAATGGTTATGAAGAGCGATATACTGAATGTAAGAGGAACGCAAACTAATAAATTATGGATATTGAGAATATTTGCAATTCATAGGTCACAGATATGAGTCGAGTGTGATTGCATTTAGTACGTTTTATACATTCACTTATGACAGTAAAACAATTTATTTCAATAGCTTACGAGGAAACTGAAGTTCAAGATGATCATTCATAATTTTATAAATGTTCAATTGAATAAGATGAATTGTGGTTCTGAATGAAAATTTTAAGTCTGCCTCCACAGTTATTTTAATAGTTATTTTAAAAATTAAAAATTGAATATCCACGTTCTAAGTAGAGATAGGTTTTCGCTCACAAAACATTGGTATCACCACCACTTATGGTCATCTGTGTTTTATTTCAATCTTAGTGATGTAGTCAATTTTCAAATTTGTGCTGTTGATGATGTGGAGTTGTTCGTCAGTATAGCGTTTGAGAAGATCATAATCCGCACACTAATCTCAACTAACCCTCACATCTTTGTAAAATCTGACTTCATGTAAATGCTTTTACATGAAGAGGTTTTACATTGATAGATTGTGCAAAATCTATAATGAAATATTTTACGTTTGAGAAAATATTTCATTATATTTTTTGTACAGTCTGCACATTAATATTATTACTAACATTATGATTTTCGCAAGTGTTATAGTTGACAAATATATCCAATTCATCACATATGCACATTTTTTCTGGATCGAAAAATTCGTATTGAAATTTACATGGACGGCCATAAAGTGTAATGTGAGATCTGAAATATTTCAAAGCAAGCTTGCTTTACTCTTTACTTGTATTATAAAGGTACAATGTAGTTGCGATTGAAGGGCAGAATTACATTTGAGAAACTTATTTTAAATCGAGTTATGTCAAAGTTAAGTTTAAATCATTGAGGTGTCTTGGTAATAATAATATTACCTGAACTTTTTATATATTTTATCATTAGAAAGAAATATATTAAAGTTTTGATGGATGCTTTCAGTTGTAAAAGGATTGAGTAATTTTATTTATGACTTCATCCACCTGGATAAAGTTTAAATTAAAGTTTGAATAAGTCTCTGTTTAATTGTGTTAAGACTCTAGTAAGTATCTTAATTGACTTAAGTACCTCTTTCTGTAGAAACAACTTTGGCAAATACTTGTGCTTCATCTTTTGTATCAGTATAGTGTATCTTTTGTATCAGTATATCTCTATATGGAGAAATGTTTATAGTCATGAGATTATTCAGCTGCACCATGCTGTTTAAAACGGGACAATATTCTTAAACTGTAAGGCGCCGTGCCAATAAAAACTTGTTATCATGTTATAAAAACTGAATTGTCCGGGCGTGGGCACTTTCCCGGCATTCCCCACGAAGGGTTTAGACGGGTTTTTCCCCACGGCCCGCAAGCATCGGGTACTACCATTTATTGATTCATTGCGTTTACATGATTCATTAATGATTGCTAAAGTACTTTTGAAATTGAATGTTACTGTATATAATAGTTGAATAAATTATATTCTCTAATTTTTCTTTGTTAAAAAAATGTACAGATGGCAAAAAAATCACCACACTTGCAAATTATTTTAATGGAGTTTCATGCATGTGCACGCGACTTGTTTATCAGTTGAAATTCTCTTTCAATTGTCACTTATCTCATTCAATCTTGATTTAAGATTTGGCGATTTCTGTCACTCCGGTTTCTTCCTCAAAACCAGACAATGTCCATGTAATAAATTGATTTTTTGGTTCTGGAAATAAAATTACTGTGTTGCGAAACGTTTTCTCCGGGAATAACTCGAGCCGCTATCAAGCCTTTACCGAGTCGAATTAGAGCCCCTAGAATTAACTTGTATAAATAAATCCCGCTGTAGATGTAAGAACTCGACGCCTCTTTATTACCCCATTCACACTACAGTTGCAAAAATGCGCATTTCTATAATCCGAATTTTTCGTTAGGAATCCGATTCGGTATTGCGTTCACACACGCTAAGCGAATCCGAATCCCACGTTGAAAATTTCAGGTTTAACTTCCTGTTTTGAACACTCGCGCATGCGCCGCACAGAAAATCTTAAAATACCAACAACAATTTGTGACGACAAATGCAACTCTAAAGACATTCCAGCATTCTTGAGAAGTATAAGATGGCAAAATAAGTTTGTTTCCTCATGTTGTAGTGAGTGGCGACCTCCAAATACGTTTGGTGCAATCGCTAAAGTAATAAACAAGCGTTCATAGATACCCGCACTTATCTGCACGCATGTGCAGTTAGATCTGTACAGGTGTCGATTCCGGTAAGTTATCCGGATCGCGCTTAGAAATCCACCTCGCTTGCAGGATTTTGAAAATGCGCATTACAAAAATCCTCTTGCGTTCACACTACTGCATTTATTCGAATTGTGACCTAATTCGCAATTTATCCGGATAACTGAGCGTAGTGTGAACGGGGTATATGTTAGTGAAGGGGTACATTATATATAGGAGCGGATCCAGGATTTCCTAGGGGAGGTGTTCGTTTTTATTGATCCCCTCACCCCACGAAAAAAAAGCACTTTACAAAATTCAGTGCATTGACGGAACGATTCGAATTAAGCATTAACAAATTAATTAAGTATTAATATATCAAAATATAAGCTCATTAAATTCACGATGGAGGACTCGGATATCTTCGTTATTTAAGAATTTTTGTCGCACACCCGATTGACAGACCATGCCTGAGATGATCTCGCGTCACAATCAGCTATGGCTGTGTCAAAAAGAGCATTGATTAATTAGATCTGCAAGACAGTCGAAGGGAAAATCAAAATAGGGCGAGGGCATTAATTAAAACTCACAGGGCCCATTTTGGTCACTTTTTAGTCTTCCTCAGTAGAGAATTACTGTTTTATATATAAAATTCTGCATACTTATTACCGTTTACATCCACACACAGGCGGCCAGTTGGGACATTTGACATCTGGGGCTTTAGCCGTCTTGTAAACTTATATTTCGATCATTTATACATGTATTTCAAATAAATGCAGCTGCAGGTTATAAAATTCATCTGTGTGAAATTCTCCAAATATGCCTAGTATGTCAGCGAATTTGGTTGGCGTTATTTGATCGGAGAGATGGTGTCGACAGAGACCGCGACGAGCAAACAACGACAACGTGATTTGTTTATGCCAACGCAATAGTAAATACAACTTTATTTATTTGTCTAACACAATTACAAAACGAAATCATGCCGAATGAAGCAAACTAAATTTACAAATGATGATTAATGCAATTGATTAACTTGTGAGGTGGCCTTTCCGGAGCAATAATACAACTAGAACCCTGTATGCAACGTAGAGGAACACAAGATGGACATTTACTTCTTTCATCAAAGGGTAATTACGTCACCCGATACACGATACTGACAGAGAAGTGAGAGGGGGCGGTGAAAGAATCCACGTTGCTTGTCACCCATGGTCACTTCAATGTCACCCTTGCCTGGGGCCTCTGCCGCTTGGGCTCTATTTTGCGTGTGCTGGGAGTAGCCCATGTTGATTCATCACCAGCTGGAACTTTTGATTTTCTGTGGCCTTTACCGTCTGAAGCCTATAATTTAAATTGCCTCCCGCCTTAACTTCACGGATTCTTTATATCCTGGTGCCTTAACTTCCTGGTTTCTTTATTTCCTGGTGCCTTCATTGCCTGGATTCTTTATTTCCTGGTGCCTTAACTTCCTGGTTTCTTATTTCCTGGTGCCTTCATTGCCTGGGTACATCGTTTCCTGACTTGTGTCTTTATTTCTTGATGTTTGTGCTTTCCGGTGCCTGGTGCCTTTATTTTCTGAAGTCTTTCTGTCTGGAGCCTTCATTTTCCTAGGAATTTATTTCCCGGAACTTGCACTTCCTGCTTTATTTACTTCCTGCATGGTGCCTGAATTGCCTAGGCCCTTTATTTCCTGGGACCGCCACTGCCTGGGGACTGATTTGATTTGGGATCTTAACTGCCACACGATAGTCTATAACTTGGCCAGTATTACCAATGGAGGCGAGGGTGGTAAGCTCCTTACAGAACTTCATGCAAAATAATTTATACAAAATATAAAATAATCTTCTAACATTTATTTGTGACCATGTAAAGTATTCAAAAATGGCCAACGCGTTATGTGAGCGATAATGCAGTGCGTTTTACAAACAGTAACGTACAGTAATATATACATGGTGTTGCAGATACACAAGTGTTAACAAAATCAAATGTTCATGGGAAAACATATCGTTTGACTATCAAATCAAACAAAAAATTGTAATATTTTCCAGGAGGTATTTCCAAAAAGATTCATTGGATAAATTGTAAAATAAGTTGCACTCAAACTGTTACTTTTTTGTATAACTTAACATTGTAAATACTGACATAGACAAATGTTCCCATGTAAAATGTTTGGTGTTTGGCATCATGGGGCATGCACCATATCGATGATTAACCTAAAACAGCTGTTCAGACAACACAAACTATTTCATTAAAAAGCTAAGCTTCAACTAGTGAGTCCCCATTGTCTTTCTAATAATTCGAGTACCTGGTGACCTAAAGTTTTGGTCTGAAACATCACCAGTGTGAACGCATGTACAATGATTAAGAACTAAAAAAAGAAAACAAACAGAAAGATGCCATAACTTAGAAAGCTTTGAAAACAAAACAAAACAAACAAAGTAATAAGTCCAAAAATGTTTCATTTACTGGGTGGGGACGCCCACTTTCATCCTGTGATTCCTCATGGCGTGAGCGTGCCAGTCAAGCTCTTGCACCATCTCCAGCGCACCCTCTCTCATGCGCTTGTTCAGCGGTTCGCCGTCCGCGTCGATGGCCTCGTGAACTTGCGGGATGCCGAAGATACTGGGGACGCTCATGCAGCCGAGAACTCCGAGAAAACTGCGCAGTTGAATGGCGGCTCTGACCCCAGCTGTCTGACCTAGACACGAATGAAAATAAGATATAAAAAATTTGACCATTTTTAACAATTCTTCAATGTTACTAAGAGAGAGAGAGAGAGAGAGAGAGAGAGAGAGAGAGAGAGAGAGGTGTGTGTGAGGGGGGGGGGGAGGGGTTAAACATTCAGATATCACATAGCGACTGGGCGATCTACCATACCCGCCCCCACCCCCCCAAACCAATTACTGTGCTTGAGATGTGGTGAGAAAAATGAGTGTTGGGGAAAACCCAAGCCGCTAAAACCCATCCCCACCTCCCGCTCTTGGCCGAAATTCTCAACATCATGTTAACATTGTGTTAAGTGAGCCTTTCAACTATTGCAATCACCACTCCAAAACAAATTGCATGTTATTTTTTTCGACTCTCTTACACTATGTTTATTCTTTTGTTTCTTCCTCAAGAATGCTCATTGAAATCGTTTTTAATGCAGCAAGACTATGGTAATGATTTGGGAGTGGTGTTATACATTTGTACTTAAAACAACCCCCCACACACACACACACAGAAGAATCGCAAAAATGACCACTCACCCGGAGAATAACTGACAATCCCGCTCGGCTTATAGGCGTACACTGACGGGCTAAAATGGTCCATCATATTGGACAACGCTGGCGGGATGCTATGGTTATATTCGGCAGAGACGACCACAAAGGCATCAGCCTCCTGTATCTTGGCGTTACAGTCCTGTAGAAACTGGGGCGCGTCTGACGGATCATCATAATGGTGAAAGGCCTTCTTTAGCAATGGGAAGTCGATCTCTTTTGGATCTGGAGGAGAAGGGGGATGGTACTATTAGAAAGAGACGATATCAAATGAAAATTGACCTCGTCTGCTCATAAACGTGTTTTGTAATTAATTAAAATGGTCCGCTTCAACTGTTTTATATTTACCAAGATAGTGAGTCAAAATTAAAAAAATAATAATAAAATAAAGTAAATAAATAAACTGAACATTTATAATAGGCGTAAGATGCAAACATTTGAACTTATTTAGAAAAAAATTATTTTTAAATTTTCTTATAACCAGTGAATATTGATCGTTGAGTAATTGTTTAAAAAATGCAACGAGAAATGAAAATGAAAATCGGTAGAATAATTCTGGAAAAAAATAATAATAACACTAATATTCTTAATCTAATTGGCAAATATGAAATTTAAAAAAAAATACATCTATATTTTTTAATCATTTACCCATGACTTCCACTTCGTGGTCCGTTTCCTCCAAGATTTTTTTCATGAAGATCCCAACACGTTCCCCAATACGGTTTTCCCGCACGGTCCCTAGGAACATGATAACTTTAAGCTTGTTGACGGCCATCTTAGATCCCCTATATCCGCAGAATTCTGACTGAATTGGAATAAAAAAGAAACCAGTAATGAAAATGACGGCGATCGTGATAGTCCTACTTAACTCATTTCGGTTTGCTCCTGGGCATAAGAGTATTTTCATAGTTGGCTTTTTTGGTATTCGGCTTCCGTCGACCTCTTTCTTAAAGCTTCCACTGGCGTATGTAGCTGTAATTAAACATATCATTTCATAACGGATTTCATTTTTATCAGAACAGATCAACGGTAAATATATCGTTATCCAAATTTGACCGTATTTGGACAAGTGCTATTCTTCAATACCCTCTACCAGATTGATTTTTCACTAGATATTCGCAGATATGTCTCTGGCTAATTCGTGACACACGGAGAAATGTGCACATAATTAATCTACGGACCTGGTGGAGAGCAATTTTTTTAACATGAAGCCACCTGTACGCACTTTTGTGGGCCCTATCTTTTAATTCTCTGTGAAAAATTTTAAAAAAACTTGTATTTGGAATACAGACAATGTGGAGAAACCGTTGCTTTAAGAGAAGTTATAGAAACTATAGTACGTTGGTAGTTTTGTGCAATATATAAGAACAAATAAAAATTACTCATGATCAAAAACTGTTTTTTTTTTTTTTTTTTTTTTTTTTTTTGTAAGTTTATTTTTCATATCCAATTCCCTAAAGTTACCCCATGAGTTTCAGGGTTACTGTTACCTAGATTTACAACTACTGGCTGATAGTAAATAGATGAGTTTCCAAGAAGGGAGCTTTTAAACTAGGGGTGAGCGATAACTGATAATGCCTTTTCAGTTTTTTAATCGTTTGTATCAATTAAGATTCCAAGATTTACCGGAGTGACAGGAATGCTAGCCCGCTTGGGACCGTAGTTCGTTTTTCGTTGCTTCGTACAGGTGACGTTCGTTCCATATTCTGACCCCGATACTTCCGACTTATCCTAACCTGTACAGATTATATATGACGGGAACCCGGACTTCCATACCTGTCAACATTGACGATTGCCAGAAAGGGAGATTCCCTCGCACGCCCTATGTTCCCCCCGCCTACACACACACACACANGCTGCAGGCTGCTTTCGATACACAATTAATGAAAATTAAACAAACTAGACGACAGTTCACTTTTGTTCATACTTTAAAATGTTGAAGTGTATCTCGATTTATAGAAGACGGCATCTAATCATAATTTTTAACCATGCACCGTTATAAAACAAAATTTGTCATCGCAAAAATGATATCCCCCGGCCATTGACCACACTTTTGGGAAAAAATATTTTTCAATGTTAGTACATTTGGGGAGGGTATTAAAGGAAAAACAAATGCTATTTTTCCTTTCTATTTACAGAATTCGATTATGGCAAGTTCTGATAGAACCATGGTCTGTTTATAAGGTGGCTGCATGGGGAACATCAGAAGCATATGGTGTTTCACTGAAATGGAAGCATTTCAATCCATTAAAGGTAACTCATGTTATTGCGAAGAATAATACACCAAAGTCATTTTCGTATAATTCAAATATATTTTTAGATAAAGCCTTTAACCACATTGATTTTACAGCTCACTTTCACAAGGCAGTGTATCTTCCCCTTGACCCACTTCTGGAATGAACAAAGTTGGTGGGTTGGGTGGGAGGAATAGGTAAATAAGGAAACTAATGTCTTCTAAATTTCTGTTTTGAAGTTAAGGCAGATAGCATTGGCGAGCGCCTAACCTGATGGTCCACTTTTGCGAGTTATAAGGAGAAAGTTACATCAGCATATGGGATTTCAAAAGCTCTTGTCTAGTTGTGATACCACTGAGATTTAGGACCCTTTAAGGTAAGTTATGGACAAGGGTAGAAGGTGAACAATGAACTTAATTGTCATTCATTCTGTAGATATTACAAATCTTATGTTAATGCAAATTCAACAAACTGGGCATTTTGAGCAACGTCTTACACAAAATCGTTTTAGACTGTTTAGAAACTGTTGTCTAGTCACTAAATATAGACATTTTTCTATTTGCAATTTACTCAACGAAATCCATATAGCAGACATTTTAGAATCCAAAAGCTCTTTTAATTTGTCACAAACTTGAAAAAAAAAAACTCATCCAAAAAAATTTTGACATCCAACTTTCAGATCTTCATCAATCTCGATGTGGCACAAGTGGCGTTGTCACTGGTCTAGAATACTAGGAGCTACTTATCCCTCAGCCTCACTCTCAGTGCTGCGTACAGGTGAGCGTGTTTTTCATCTCTTCAGATCATCAGGCGTTTTTGTGATTCATATGCCTTCCTTTATCCCTCTCATTCTAAAGTCACTTTCTTTTTGTACAATGTTAGCGCTTTTCTAAATCAAAATGTGGTTTTCTTGTGTTGTGTTATAGAAGTAGAATGAAATGAAATAAGTAAAATAAATTATCGTGTAAAGGCCCAAAGCCTTATGAAACATCAAAGTTGCAAGTTTTCAATCGATTTTCATACTTTTGTCTAAACACGTTACATTCTATTTGTAGGCTACATGTACGAAAGGGCAGTTTTCCAGAAATAATGCCCAAACTCAGATACCATCAATCCTAGCCTAAATGTCCAAGACGTGAAACACTTCATGGCGTTAGCAACGATCCCCTTTGGTCACTTTCATTGATGATCGGACGTCCTAGTTGTCTTGGTTTTTAAGGACACAGCTTGTCTGCAAATAAATTTAGAGAATGTGGAATGGTTATGAAGAGCGATATACTGAATGTAAGAGGAATGCAAACCAATGATGTACTCGAGTCTTTTGGATATGGAGGATGTTTGCAATTCATAGGTCACAGATATGAGTCGGGTGTGATTGCATTTAGTACGTTTTATATTTTCACTTTTATTGCAATAGCTTACGAGAAAGCTGGAGTTCAAGATGATTATTCATAATTCTATTAATGTACAATTGAATAAGATGAATTGTGGTTCTGTTTGAAAAGTCTGTCTGCCTCCACAGTTCTTATAATAATTATTTTAAAAATTGAAAACGGAATATGCAGATGCGTTATCCACATTTTAAATTCACTCACAAAATATTGGTATCACCACCACTTATGGTCGTCTGTGTTTTATTTCAATCTTAGTGATGTAGTCATTTTTTCAAATTTGTGCTGTTGATGATGTGGAGTTGTTCGTCAGTATAGCGCTTGAGAAGATCATAATCCGCACACTAATCTCAACTAACCCTCACATCTTTGTAAAATCTGACTTCGTGTAAATGATTTTACATGAAGAGGTTTTACATTGAAAGCTTGTGCAAAATCTATAATGAAATATTTTACGTTTGAGAAAATATTTCATTATATTTTCTGTACATTCTGCTCCTCGTGGGGGATGGCTGGGTGCACACAGTCATCTCTCAAGATAGAGGATCGCACTTTACTAATATCACTTATATTATGATTTTCTCCAGTGTTATAGTTGACAAATAAATCTAATTCATCACATATGCACCTTTTTCTCAGGATCGAAAAATTCATATTGAAATTTACATGGACGGCCATAAAGTGTAATGTGAGATATGAAATATTTCGAAGCAAGCTTGCTTAACTTATTACTTGTGTCATACAGGCACATGAAGTTGAGATTGAAGGGCAAAATCACATTTGAGAAACTTATTTTAAACCGAGTTATGTCAAAGTTTAGTTTAAATAATTGAGGTGTCTTGGTAATAATAATATTACCTGAACTTTTTATATATTTTATCAGTAGAAAGAACTATATTCAAGTTTTGATGGATGCTTTCAGTTGTAAGTGTTGAGTCACTTTATTTATGACTTCATCCCCTTAGATAAAGTTAAAATTAGTCTCGGTTAAATTGTGTAAAGACTCTAGTGAATGTGTCTTTATTGTCTTCAGTACCTCTTTCTGTAGAAATTATTTTGGCAAATTGTGCTTCATCTTGTGTACCAGTATAGTGTATATAGAGAATAGTTTGTAGTCATGAGAGAAAATTTATTCAGCTGCACCATGCTGTCTAAAACGGGACGATATTCTTGAACTGCAAGGCGCCGTGCCAATAGAAAAAAAAAAACTGAAGTTTTCTTTTTATAAAGACTGAAAAATCCGGGCGTGGGCACTTTCCCGGCATTCCCCACGAAGGGTTTAGACGGGTTTTTCCCCACGGCCCGCAAGCATCGGGTACCAGCTTCCGAACACGAGAGGAGCATTGTCGGACTGTATGCGTTCTGGTGTAAGATAGACAGGAATGGAAATCTTAAAACTGTCAATAATACTTAACATTTATTGATTCATTTCGTTTATATATTTCATTAATGATTGCTAAAATGCTTTTGAAATTGAATGTTACTGTATATAATAGATGAATAAAAATCATATTCTATATTTTTTTTCCTAAAACGGAAGGCTTGTATAGATGGCAAAATAATCACCAGACTTGCGAATTATTTTAATGGAGTTACAGGCATGTGCACGCAACTCGTTTATCAGTTGAAATTCTCTTTCAATTGTCTCTTATCTCATTCAAGGAGTTACAACAGACAAACCTGGTTATTTTGTCCATGGCTAAATGAAAATGAGGTCCGTTCCCTGTAGTGAGAATATATGGGTATGGGTTCGAACTTGAAAATGTGGACTTGGAGCAGACAAAATCGATAAGTTGCTTAAAGAGCGGCGACTCTCTAGTTTTGTATACAGGATTCTTTATGAACTCAAAGATTTCTCCACTAAGAATTTTCAAATTTATTTTTTATCTATTTTTTGTTTTGCTCTGTTTTGTTTAGAGAGAGAAAGGAATAACTAAATCTAGTGTGGTTGATTTTGCGGTTTTCTTTTTGTAAATTTATCGGCTTTACCAATGTATTATTTTCCACTGAAAAAAATGGCGCCAAAATGTGATTTTCTAAAAATGAGACTCGATCGCGCGCGTTAAGCAAATTTTAAAAAAGGCACGCAGTTGGGGTTTATGGCGACCGCTTTAACTGGAGTGAAGAATTATATCTACGAATTTTGTCAGCGTTATTTGATCGGAGAGATGGTGTCGACAGTGACCTCGACGAGCAAACAACGACAACGTGATTTATTTTTACTAACAATACACAAAAACTAAGACAACTTTATTTATTTGTCTAACACAATTACAAAACGAAATCATGCCGAATGAAGCAAACTAAATTTACAAATGATGATCAATGCAATTGATTAACTTGTGAGGTGGCCTTTCCGGAGCAATAATACAACTAGAAACCTGTATGCAACGTAGAGGAACACAAGATGGACATTTACTTCTTTCATCAAAGGGTAATTACATGTACGTCACCCGATACTGACAGAGAAGTAAGAAGTGGCGGTGAAAGAATCCACGTTGCTTGTCACCCATGGTCACTTTGAACAGTGTCACCCTTGCCTGGGACCCCTACTGCTTGGGCTCTATTTTGCGTGGTGCCTGTGCTGTGAGTAGCCCATGTTAATTCATCGCCAGCTGGAAATTTTGATTTTCTGTGGCCTTTACCGTCTGAAGCCTTTAATTTAAACTGCCTGTCGTCTTAACTTCCTGGATTCTTTATTTCCTGGTGCCTTAACTTCCTGGTTTCTTTATTTCCTGGTGCCTTCATTGTCTGGATTCTTTATTTCCTGGTGCCTTAACTTCCTGGTTTCTTTATTTCCTGGTGCCTTCATTGCCTGGGTACATCGTTTCCTGACTTGTGTCTTTATTTCTTGATGTTTGTGCTTTCCGGTGCCTGGTGCCTTTATTTTCTGAAGTCTTTCTGTCTGGAGCCTTCATTTTCCTAGGAATTTATTCCCCGGAACTTGCACTTCCTGCTTTATTTACTTCCTGCATGGTGCCTTAACTGCTTGGTGCCTGAATTGCCTAGGCCCTTTATTTCCTGGGACCGCCACTGCCTGGGGACTGATTTGATTTGGGATCTTAACTGCCACACGATAGTCTATAACTTGGCCAGTATTACCAATGGAGGCGAGGGTGGTAAGCTCCTTACAGAACTTCATGCAAAATAATTTATACAAAATATAAAATAATCTTCTAACATTTATTTGTGACCATGTAAAGTATTCAAAAATGGCCAACGCGTTATGTGAGCGATAATGCAGTGCGTTTTACAAACAGTAACGTACAGTAATATATACATGGTGTTGCAGATACACAAGTATTAACAAAATCAAGTGTTCATGGGAAAACATATTGTTTGACTATCAAATCAAACAAAAAATTGTAATATTTTCCAGGAGGTATTTCCAAAAAGATTCATTGGATAAATTGTAAAATAAGTTGCACTCAAACTGTTACCTTTTTGTATAACTTAACATTGTAAATACTGATATAGATAAATGTTCCCATGTAAAATGTTTGGTGTTTGGCATTATGGGGCATGCTACATATCGATGATTAACCTAAAACAGCTGTTCAGACAACACAAACTATTTCATTAAAAAGCTAAGCTTCAACTAGTGAGTCCCCATTGTCTTTCTAATAATTCGAGTACCTGGTGACCTAAAGTTTTGGTCTGAAACATCACCAGTGTGAACGCATGTACAATGATTAAGAACTAAAAAAAGAAAACAAACAGAAAGATGCCATAACTTAGAAAGCTTTGAAAACAAAACAAAACAAACAAAGTAATAAGTCCAAAAATGTTTCATTTACTGGGTGGGGACGCCCACTTTCATCCTGTGATTCCTCATGGCGTGGGCGTGCCAGTCAAGCTCTTGCACCATCTCCAGCGCCCCCTCTCTCATGCGCTTGTTCAGCGGTTCGCCGTCCGCGTCGATGGCCTCGTGCACTTGCGGGATGCCGAAGATACTGGGGACGCTCATGCAGCCGAGGACGCCGAGAAAACTGCGCAGCTGCATGGCAGCTCTGACCCCAGCTGTCTGACCTAGACACGAATGAAAATAAGATATAAAAAATTTGACCATTTTTAACAATTCTTCAATGTTACTGAGAGAGAGAGAGAGAGAGAGAGAGAGAGAGGTGTGTGTGTGAGGGGGGGGGGAGGGGTTAAACATTCAGATATCAAATAGCGACTGGGCGATCTACCATATCCCCCCCCCTCCCAACCCAATTACTGTGCTTGAGATGTGGTGAGAAAAATGTATGTTGGGGGAGGTGGACGGCAAAACCCAAGCCGCTAAAACCCATCCCTACCTCCCGCTCTTGGCCGAGATTCTCAACATCATGTTAACATTGTGTTAAGTGAGCCTTTCAACTATTGCAATCACCACTCCAAAACAAATTGCATGTTATTTTTTTCGACTCTCTTACACTATGTTTATTCTTTTGTTTCTTCCGCAAGAATGCTCATTGAAATCGTTTTAATGCAGCAAGACTATGGTAATGATTTGGGAGTGGTGTTATACATTTGTACTTAAAACAACCC